TCTGTCCTGTACGATCACTATGCGTCAGCATCAACTCAATGGCGGTGGGTTTTACCTTGAATTGTAATTTATACCGAAAGCTGCAATCTTTGATTTTCATCAAGTGCTTCAAGTCCTCCTAACTTTCAGCCCGCAAGGTTGTGCTGTGTTATCTACATATCACAGGTTGTTAACCAATCCCGACGCCCCGTTCTCCTTCATATAATCTGGTACTAGCTTCTCAGATGACTGCTCAGCATACAGACTGAGTAAGTACGATGAAAGGAGTCAACGCTGACAGACATCTTTCCTGGTTTTAAACCACGCAATATTCCCTTGTGCTGTTCAAATGACTGCCTCTTGGTCCATTTGGGTCCATGGCAGCAAAATTAAGTGTTCTGAACTGTCTATTCTTCTCAATTCTATCCATAGTTTGTCATGTTCCTCACAGTTAAATATCTTTGATATTCTCTGTGTTCAGCCAAGATCTACGGAACATCAGTAATCATATCTGTCATGGCAGGTCCTTTTCTGAGCCCAGCTTGATTTTCTTGGAAATTCCCTGTAGATGTCCTTCTTCATCATTTTCAAATTCTTTTCTTTCTTTTGTTCTTTTTTTATGAGGGAAGTAGATTTTATTGGAAACCGTCAATATTCTTTATACAGAACACATCTTCAAACAAGGCTCTGGTGTGGCCTGTACAGAATGTTGAATTATTTTCAACAAAATTTTACTTGTATATGACACTGATGATATTGTTTGATAGCTTTTGCTTTCTTTTAGGCCACTTTTCTTTGGAAAGGGCACACATATGTATCTCGTCTGGTCATAGTAAATCACATGATAATCTCAATTCACAATGGCCAAGACCAGTCAATTTCAGCTCCCTAATGCCTAGGATACTGATCTTTATGCACTCCATTTCATTTTTGATGACTTCCAATTTCCCTAGTTTTATATTTCATATATTCCACATTGTAAGTATTAATAGATGTTTGTAGCTGTTTCTTCTCAGTTTGAGTTGTGCTGCATCCTTAAATTAAGGCCTGAAAAGCTTTATTCTGTCTGTGGAATTTAGGTCGACTCTACTCTGAGGAGGCCGCTCTTCCCCAGTTGTGTATTGAATAGCTTCCATCCTGAGCGGTGCATCTTCCAGCACTCTATCTCACAATGTTTTGCTACTGTTTATGCAGTTTTCAGTAGCTAATGTCTCTGAAGTAGACAGCCTATTTCTTTTGTAGTCTGTTCTTAGTCTAGAAGCTCTGCTGAAACCTGTTCACCATAAGTGACCCTGGTAGCATTTGAAATACCAGTGACACAGCTTCCGGCAATACACAAACCTGTGAGAGCAAACCAGCCCCCAAACAACCAAATGGGTCCTAAGGAATGGTTGTACAATCAAGAACATAAAAGAGACTGTGTTAGACAGGGTTCTCTAGAGAAACAAAACCAGGACACTTATGTATATATGAATAGGTTTATACAGCAAGAAGAAATATAACAGCTAATTAGTCCACACAGCAGTACAGAAGGTTCAGTTCAACTCACTTCCATGGAATAGTTAATATACTGGAAGTCCTTCAACTCACTTGGGCTTCTGGGTCCAAGGTCAATGAAGCAGACAGCTGAGTCCTCTTTCAGGAAAGACAAGCAGAGTCTACCCACAGGCAGCAAACAGCAATGGTGGGTCACCAACAGTCAGTAGCTAAGGAGCTTAGTGAAGCAGGCCAGATGGGATATCTAATGCAAGCAATGCAAGGCGACAGGATCCACCAGCTTCAAACTCAAGTGATGTAGCACCAGCAGCGTGGAGAAGCAGGTCTTGAAGAGCCTCAAACTCTAGCAACACAAGCCACAGGTTGGCTTGGCCCACAGGTAGTGTAGCTCCTAGGTTGAGGCAGAGAACTAGCTAAAGCAGCAGCACACTCTAGCATACTCCGATCACCAGAGAGCAAGGGAGAGGGGGAGCGGACCTTGCAGAGCCATTTATCTGTTTGTCCTCCAATCAAACTGCAATCTGATTAATCCCACATGTTCTTATTGGCCAGGTTGGCACAATAAATCTAACTATCACAGAGACAGACAGAATATAGTGTGCTTATCTTCTCCATAGGGTCAGGACAAAGAGAGAGAGAGTGGATGTATTCTTTCACTAATTTATATGGTCCCGGGACATGCAAGCACCCCTAGCTACACACAACCACATATGTAACAAGGGGGGCAGTGTCCTAACCTAGATGTTCCTGAGTTCATTGGGGGCAGTAACCTAACACCAGTGCTGGGGCAGATAAAAGGGAGTTGACTGTCCCGAGTGGGGAGAACAATAGCAACACATCTGCTCCCATATATAAGGGCCGCCTGCTGCGGGGTAATCAGCCATGTGCTTGTAAGTAGTAACATTAAGGTAGCACTATTATGGGAGGATATTGTGGCAATGATTTTCAAAGGAGACTATGACTGGGACTC